TTTGTGAGTATTACCTTCTGCAGGCCGACACAGAAGCGTCTGAAGACCTCCTTCATGTTGCCTCCCTTCTGCATGGAGATGACACGCAGGTGATCCTCCTCGTTCACCCAGACCAGGAAGGTCTTGTTGTCGTTGTGCCTAGAGGAATAAAACCCAGCTCAGTTTTATTTGATTTACAGGCAACAAGCAGCACTTCTTAAAGAAATTTGTGCCACACTTGTAGGCTTTCTCTCTATATTCAACCAATAAATTGTTAAGTTGACCTTGAAGATCTCTGTGGATGTAGTCAAATGACTTGCATCCTTTAAAAATTCTTTAAAGGATGCAAGTTTAAACTGCAGCTTCAGCAAACATGAGACGCTTTAAGAGATGTTTAAAAGAAGAAATAATTGGTGTTTTCTTCATATTATGCAGACAGATGGTAATGATGTCAAAGATTTGCTGAGGAAGGGCAGATGGGATAATTTCTCTCAGATGTTTCTAATGTGTTTGTGTTTTCATATACGGAGAAAGCACGTAATTATCTTCAGATTTATTGGTTCATTTCCCATTTCTGTTTCTCACCAGATGCCTCTGGCGTCAGGCCAGTCGCGGGCCATACCGGCGCAGGTCAGCAGGGGGGACACAGGCTTGTCAAACAGGAAGTGATCAGCGATCAGCTGCTCCTGCTCGGCATCAGTCATGCCATCCAGGGGGTAGTACTTTCCCTTGAACTCACCCTCCAGGCTGGCCAGTGCTGAGGAAGGAAGGTTTGCGGCACAAAGATGTCAGTGTGTGAATAAAATCCTGAGTTTTATAAACATGTGGGTTATTCTTATAGGTTTGACATTTAGTGTTTACCCTCGATGGACAGATTCTGGATGGCTCTGCGCTCTCCACGGCTGTTGTGGGGGGGCAGGGTGAATCCCTTGATGCTGCGGCCAGTACGGACACGGCTGGAGAGCACATAGTTGGGGTCCAGGTCATCACCACCCTGGAACACAACACAGACATTATAATTATGTTATAGTATATATTTTGATTTCATTTCTATAATAAATGAATGTGTCTTTCATTGACAAACTCAAAGAAATGAAATGTGGACCCACATTTTGAGTGATGTGGAAGTTAACTTCTAAGTTAGTCCAGTTTAAGTACATCAGCTTTAACACAGTTTAGGGAATGAATGTGACTAGGCTGGTGTAAATGTGGAATATTGAACAACAGAGATGGGCAGTAA